CGTATTATTAGGTCGGAAAATCTTATCCTTTTTTCTTACCTATTATTCTTGGTAACTCTAAAGAAATGTTACTCTTAACTGTGACTCGCGGCCAATTATGACTAATGCGAATGTGACTTGCTCGATTAGACAAATTTAAAATCCTATCATAGGAATCACTTCATCCAATACGGAGGAGACACAATTGTGATCGGATTAGCAATTTTTGTCATTGTATCATTATTAAGAAATGCTAGTTGATAGGCGTTAGCGTTGCTGTCATCGCCACGACCACCACCACAAGAGTTGCCGTAGCCGTAAGCTAGTTCCATGAGTCTATTATGACTTCTTATCCACTCAACGAGATAAATCCCATCATATGAACCACCTCATCCAACAATGAGAGCTACATTTGTTATTCGATTAACAATTCTTATTACTCTATCGTTACCGAGAAATGCTAGTTGGCAAGCACTATTGTTATTGTCGTTGCCGCAACCACCACCACTAGAGTTGTCATAAGCTCCTTGAGCATTATTGTGACTTTTTAACCACTCAACGAGACAAATCTCATCCATTATATGAACCACCTCATCCAACAATGAGAGCCCCAATTGTTATCCAATTAACAATTCTTGTTACTTTATCGTTACCGAGAAATACTTATTGACAATTGCTAGTTATGGTCGTCGCTACCATCACCACCACTAAGGTTGCCTTCAACGCAACCATAATTGACGTTAATTAAGTTTCAAAAAAAAAAAAAAAAGAGTTAAAAAAAAAAAAAAAAATGTAAAGAAGCCATATGGCTACATGTGAACTCATTTATGGCAACAGCCCCCTTCCATCTAAACATTATTCCAAGTCGTCCACTAAGTTTGCTTTTAGAGGCCATACATGTGCAACTTGAAAAACAGCTAAGCAATTAGAGATAAGTTTCTCCTTTTTTTAATTCTCAGTCACAGATGATCACTTTTGCGATTGATTCTAGGGAATTTGATGGACATCTTTTTATAAGAGGAATGCAGATAGAATATGTATTGAAAATGACAATACACCATTGTTACTATACTAATTTATCTTCCATTTTTCATTAATACTATATTTTTTCTCCTCCTATATATATATATAAACACACACAGTAGCAATGGCCATGAAAAGGACTTGCTTTCGTTTTCTAGGTGTTTTTGTCCAGGAGGGTTCATGGTTGGGTGGCTGAGCTACTTACTAGAAAGTTGAATCCTGTTTAGTTTATTAAATTGTACACCAATAAATAAATAAAATAAATAAAATTAAATTAAAGCCTGAGTACAAGTCATGATCATGGATCACAGCTGTGTCAATATGATCTATCTTTGCAGCTAGCAAAGAGATGATCATGGATCACAGCTGTGTTAATATGATCTATCTTTGTAACTAGCAAAGACAATATACTAATATATATCTATATATATATATATAGAGAGAGAGAAAGAGTAATCCTGGTAAGAGAGATTTCTCTTGATAACCGTCACGAACTCTTCACATCTAACTATCGAATTAAAACAGTTATTTGACATATATAAAAAGTCAAATGAATTATTTAATACGTCTTTCATTTCTGCAGTTAAATGTGAAATAATGAGATGAATCTCTCGATAGCGTTACTCTTAACTTATTGGGTTTTGTGGCTCGAACTATTGCTCTTGATGAAGACTTGCCAAATCATGTAAACCTCCTCCGATTTTTTTGTTCTTACTCCGAGGACGTAGGTAAATTTGTCAAACTACATAAATCTCCTCCTGTTTATTTGTCAACAGTGTGTGTGATCCAAACAACTCTAATTCATATATCCTAACGTTGGTATGAGAATTTTCAAATGTGAAAGATAATAGTACCATGAAATCAACAAAATATTCTAAAGAGCGAATGCAATAAATTCTAGACCGTCCATTAGAGAAGAGGATACTGATCCTGAGGGACCATACAGGAGGAAAATGGGATATGAGTATGACTAGTGGACAAGTAGAGTGTATGAGAAGTGTGAGGCTTTGTTTTTGCTTGGCCAAGTTTGGAAAATGTGCCTGACCTTTATTTGGAAAGTCACAGAAGGTGTGGTGGAGAAGACAATCAACTTGATATGTGTGACCCAAAAGGTCTGTTTATTAGCTCTGGGATCTTAGCAAGTTGCTCTATCGATCTTACGCTTATTAGTCGTCCGCTAGTGCCCTTTGAAGCTCTGAAGGATTGAAGCTTTATCTTGCACTCAGTCTAGGGGTGGCAATTTCATCCCCAGGTGCGTCTTAGTTTAGAAGGGCAGATATGATATTAAAAATTACAACTTGAATCAAGTTCAAAATTGACTATAAAACGTAGATAAACTTATCATGCCCTTGATCCTGGTTTGCTGTATCGTTCGATATACGATTTTTTTTTAAGTATGATCATATTAGCCAGTTTACATCGACTTTGTCCGAGCCCGTGACTCATATTAGCTAGTTTACATCGACTTTGTCCGAGCCCGTTACACCGCAATCGTGATCGATATTGCGAACCATATCCAGAGCCAACAATATATAAATGTAAATTATGCCGCTACCCTTGATTTCATAAATTATTCCCTTACTGTCCTTTTATATATATATATATATATATATATATATATAATTTACATGCACTTTAGAGTTTTTGACTTTCATTCTTTAGTTCTTATCTTTCTGCTACTTCCCCCTCACTGGAAGCGTAAATGTTGAAATAAATGAATGAGTAAATAAAAAACAAAAAGTGAATAAAAAATAATATATATAAATATATATATAAAGGATTTTTGGCTTTCAATCTTTAGTTCTAGTCTTCTTCTCATAGATAATACTGGAGCAGCCGCCACTCCCCCCCTCATTTGCAACTCATCAGCGGGATAAAAAATGTAAATTATGCATGTTCCCTTAATTTTAATATTTTATTCCTTTACTGCCTCTTTATATATATATATATATATATATATATATTAGTTCTCATCTTCCTCTTCTAAAAATATCAGAGCAGCCGCCGCTCCTCTCAACTCGTCATAATTAAGCCTACGACGAAGATCAACTTCTTGGCTATAGTTCAGTGAAGGTACTAGCTCGTTCTTTGATCTCTTTATCTTCTTCTGACCATGGATTAGAGTTTATAATGTGAGAACTCTCTCTGTCTCGTTTCCGGGTGGGGCAAGACCGGATCCGAATACCTTTCCGGGATGAGATGGTAGTATTACTATAAAAAATTCGTCTCGAAATCGGGTTAGAAATAAGATAAATAGTCATGAACCAACCAATCTACCAACATTATTTACGAGTGATCAAGAGACTTTACACGTCATTCATGAAAATTATTCACAAGTTCATATATGAATTGATTATTGAATCAATTTCACTCACTTTCTGCACCCATTTGGTAAGGAGACATGACTTATGATAGAAAAGACTGAAAAAGAGAGTCTTCGAAATTATTACACAACACCTCAAAATTACGTACTCACATATATATCTATATATATATACACACACACACATACTAAACAGGGGTCAGCGGGATCAATGATGGGTTTTGGGTTGTGGATTAGAGGTGGCGGTGGCCGGGCAAGAGTGAAAGAGACCCATGGAGGAATGGGTCTCTGATCTGGGATTGAAGGGGTGGGATGAGGATTGTGGTGGCCGTATCTTCGCCGTCGTTGAGCCACAGATTGGACTCTGGCGACCAGAAGTGGTGGAATCGAGGGCGAGAATCGAAGGTTGGAGGACGAAATCGGTGTCAGAGGAAGAGAGACCGCACAGAGGAGAAGATGAGGTTGGATTGGAGGAGTCAGAAGACTCATGGTCGAAGAAGTCGGAGAGATCGGACCCATAACAGAAGATCCGATTCTCATTTTGGTTGTTGTTGGCGACAGTGAAGGACGGCGAGCTCGGGACGGCTGAGAGCAAGGACTAAAAAACGAGGTTGGTGACCAGAGATTGGCTTAGCGATGCTATTTGGTGGTGTCGAGGATCTGCATGGTGGTGGGACAGGTGTTGTGACCGGAGTCGAGCCAGAATAGTGTTCCATTCGTGAGGAAGAACAGATGAGCGATCACCGGCGGCATATGGTGAGCACCAGAACTTCGTTGCTGAAGAAGGAGCGCATAGTCGCGTTAGAATTGTAAAGGGGCTTTTATGTCCTTTAGGATTAAAGATATTTTGTATTAAAATTTTGAAAGTAAAATGATCAATTTGCATGTTTGAGACCAAAAAGTAAATTATTGTATAAGTAAAAGTTAAAACTAAAATTTTCATCCAACTGAAAATGACATAACTCAGGAGATCTCTATGTAATTTGCCCTATAAATAAAGTACTCATCCCCCAATTTTTACTTTGATTGCATACAAATTTTAAGCTATAAATAAAGTACTCATCCCCGAATTTTTACTTTGATTGCATACAAATTTTAAGGAATAAATTGTTAATGACTATTTACTTCAAAATTTTAAGCAGTGTAACTTAAATATATAAATCATTCAATATACCTCTTTACATGTAACTTTTTTTTTATTGATCTAACACGTAAATGATGTTTGAACACAAGACTTTTAACAATTAACTATTTACTCCAAAAATTTAAACTATTAAAAATTGTATAATTTAAATATATAAATTCTTCACCACAAATTAAATTGATCGAAAGGGAATAGTTTTTGAAGATTAAAACGTCAAAATTTTGTTGCAGTTCACAAACTTTAGCCAAATTTTTATATTCACTTATTTTTTTATTTTTTTCTTTTTGGTAAGGTTATTGATGGTTTGATGTGAAGTCTAAAAGGAATCTCACTCCGGTTCAGCAATAGCCTTATTTGTTGTACGCTACTTTGATAAATAAATTTAATTAGACTACTTTGTTTTACACTACTTTTATGAGAGCATTTATTTGGAGTACCATGATGACATGATTGGTACAGGATTTTTCTGCTTTTTCAAACCATAATAATTCAAACACAATCATTGCAATTGCAATGAAATGTATGCGTGGGACACCCACACACTTTTGTTACCATATATATGTAGATATATATGTATCTACATTTGTGTGTTTATATAGGGGTAATGGACACTTGTATAAAGCAGTGGTATACAGAAGATTCAAAACCAAAAAATAGTTGACACGTTCGTAGCACAGACAGCGACGGAGGAGACTGTTCCGTCGGCCTCCGAGAGCTCTTCCTCCTTCGAGAACGAGAATAAGAGGACAGCGATATAAGGATTGTTTGGCTTGGGGATATTTTGATTCTCACTCTCTCTCTCTCTAGATTTTGATCCAAGCAGCTAAGATGCGCAGCATGGTGAGCTCCACCTCTTCCAGAGGCATCGCTGCCATTGTCGGCGTCGGACCCAAGCTCGGCCGCTCCATCGCCCGCAAGTTCGCCCACGAAGGCTACACCGTCGCCATCCTCGCTCGCGACCTAGGCACTCTCCCCTCCCCCACTTTACAAATTCTCTTCAATCAATCATCATTTTGTTATTGAACATTTGTGTTATATTGTATTGAACGGTTCACAATATACACATATGTGTATATGTAGTGAACTGTCCGATACAGTATAACACTATCACTCGTGTCAGTAACTCTCTTTTTCACAGGTAGACTATCAAGATTTGCGGACGAGATAGCGAGAGAGGAAATGGCACAGGTGTTCGCGATCCGAATAGATTGCTCTGAGTCCCGGAGCGTGAGAGAGGCATTCGAAGGCGTTCTCTCTCTTGGGTTTGTGGAGGTTCTGGTCTACAATGCGTACCAGTCCGTGGCCAATTGGCAACCCACCAGCTTCGCCGACGTTAAAATCGACTCGTTCCAGAAATCCATCGCCGTCTCCTCCGTCGGAGCCTTTCACTGTGCCCAACAGGTGGTGGTGGTGATCTTCGTCTTCTTGTTTTTTATTTTTTATTTTTATTTTTATTTTTATTTTTTTTTTTTGTTTTGTGTTGATTTTGAGAATGAAAGAAAATTTGGTTTGTTTGGCTGGCATGAAAAAGGTACTTCCGGGGATGGTGGAAAGAGGAAGAGGGACGATTCTCTTCACTGGCTGTTCTGCTTCTCTCAATGGCATTGCTGGTTACTCTGAACTATGTATATTTCACTTTATATATATATATATACACTAAATTTAAAAAATAAAATTAGTAATTTAATTTTAATTTATGAATATTATTATTGTAAACACAGGTTGCGGGAAATTTGCCTTGAGAGCTTTGTCACAATGCCTGGCAAGAGAGTTTCAACCTCTGGGTGTACACGTGGCGCATGTTATCATCGACGGCATCATCGGTGCACCTAGGTTTGTTTGCTTCCTATTTTTTCTTTTTTCTTTTTTTTTTTTAAAAAATAATAATAATAATAAATAAATTTACCATTTTTTGAAGTAGAAACTTAGGTTATCCACTTCACTGATTCCACAATACATCAGTGTCTCACTTCCTATGTTTTAAAAAATAAATAAATAAATTTACCAATTTTTGAAGTAGAAACTTAGGTTATCCACTTCACTGATTCCACAATACATCAGTGTCTCACTTCCTATGTTTTGTTTTCTTCCATTTTCTTAGTATCCAAACTGAATATATAGATAATATAATAGGAGTAGATGGCTTAGGAGAAGAGTTGGGAGAATAACAAATATTAAAATGTATGGTCTCGTCGCATGCAGATATAATTCGAGTTTTATTCAATTTTTAATAGAATGTTTTGAACGAATTTTGTGGATTAGTCAATACAAAATATGAGACTATCAGTTATAGGATAAAAAAATAAAATAAAATGTTTTTATATGTGTTAGACAGAAGTAGTTGAAGTTTACTTCCCTACTAGGAAACAAGGCTACTGAGGGGTGGTTTTGGGGTGCATAGGATTTGGACCCCGATTGGGTCTATCCTATTCAAATTTGATAAGAAATATCGCGATCCAATTCAAATTATAAAATTATGCTATTTAACCGATACATGCACGGATCTGGTTAAGGACAATTGGGGCAACCAGTGAAATTTTTTTATTTTTTTATATTATTACTTATATTTTTTATTAAAATTTTAAAAATATCCTCTCTCAATTTGTATTTAAAAAATGCCCCCTCTTAATTTGTAAAAATATCCACTTCACATTCTTTACCCCACTGTTTTTTCTTTTTTCTTTTTTCTTTTTTTTTATCCAAAAAATAATCTCTTTTTCTCCCTACCGCCCCCACCACATTCATGATTCTCTTTCACACACTTTGATATTCCAAGTCAATTTTTTAAAATACCCACTATATATATTCTTGCATTCACTGATATTTTTAGATCTAAAAGAAAGTAAAGTAAATCGGTTTTCTTTTTTCAATCTTTACTCTCCCGCATCCATGGTAATTTAAAAAGCACAGACACGACTAAAATATCAAAGAATCTGAGTCGGACAAGTCACAAAAAATTAAATTCTTATATTTATTATTTTATTTTTAAAAAATTATCTTCAATTCTTTTTATTGTGCCCCTGGAAAAAAAATTCCTGCATCCGTTATATATATTTATCAATAGATGTAGTTTGTTTAAAATTTTAAAATATATATTAAAAAAGCCAGAGAAAAGGAAAGAGAATAACTTTTTATATTTGATCCTAGCTAAAGAGGGGGGAAAATAGTGAGAAAATAATCAATCGACGGAAGAAGTGAATAAAAACTTAAATAAATAAAATTTTCAATAATATACATGATAAACCAGTATATAAATAACTTTTTTCAAATACAACCAATATTATACATTATATTTAGTCGCATCATATTATTGTGGAATTTTTCATACTCATATTCAAGTTGTTAATAGACTAAATATCCAATACATATTTAGTCTATTAACAATTTTTAAAAATTTAACACTTTCAAAATTTCTAACACTTTTTAAAAATTTCTAACATTTATTTAAATGTTATGTTTGGCGGCACTAAATCGGTACCATTTGAATGAAAAGATTGTGAAAATGTTGCAGGGGACCATCAGCGTCTCGGACGTTGCAGCAGCGATCGTCGGTTGGGGAACAACAGAGCGCAGAAGGGGACGGCTCAATGGACCCAGACACAATAGCTCGGACTTACTGGCAATTGCACATTCAGAATCGATCAGCTTGGACCCAAGAGATCGACCTGCGTCCCTACAATTCAAGATCCTACAACTTCTAGATCTACTACTTCTACCATCAATGTGACAATTGTGTCAGATGATAGAATTTAGTCCCTATGTTAAGAGGAGGGTTAACTTATCGTGATTTGATATGGTTTGGCTATTTATATATAAAATACTATGTTATAAATATGCGATTATGAAATGATTAACATCTGTGTTTTGGACTAATCATTTTGTTACCAAAAACACCGTCCCTCCCTCGTTGTTAAAAATTATTGTATAGTCCCGGTCCAAGGACTAATTGATATGTAAATAAAAGAGAATAATTTCAGCTAATTACTTGCCATTGTGCTAACAAAAACAAAAACCAAAAATAAATAAATAAATAAAAATAAAACTGAAGAAATTATTATATACCAATGATTTCAATCAATCATGAAGTGACACATAAGAGTCAATTGACAACAATATAAAGATGACATAAGACTAATTGACAACTACATAAAATTGACACATTTGTTTTTTGTCACGAATTATTGGCTAAGAATCAATGGTCGGGACCATGTTTTTGCCCTTTTCCGATCTTCTCTTAATGGAAAAAGATCTAAATGAGAAGGCCAATGGGAGCTAAATGGGGTCAGGGTTGAATGGATAGGAAAAGGTATTCGTGTGCGAATTGAGGACGCACAAGTTTAAAGTTCAAGAATATGAACTTCCACACAAAAGGTATCTTTGGAGAGAGAGATATAGGTAGTAGATAGACATATATTTAAGAACGGTTTTTTGGTGGACCCCATCACATCATCAAAGGTGTGATCGGACGGGGTTCCGTCAAGTCTAATCCGACATAATACTTGCACAGGTGCAAAAAGGTGAAGATGCGACATCGCTGACGACTCACCGACCATTACTCTACCTCATACACATGCTTAAAATTTTCTTTTCCCTTCTCTCTCGACGCATTGAATTTTCGAATCTGGATCCTCTCTGGTGTACTGGATGATCCATTACATTTTGGGCTCATTTGATTTTTGGAGTGGAATCTGGATCCTTTTCAGTACACGGGACAAATTCATAGATACTTTGCATAAAGGGCAGACAATCCATAGATACTTCGAATAAAGGCAGAATTCAGTCTGTCGAATACACTTCTTAGAGATGATCTCTTTCTTTTGTAACACAAAAGAATCTGACTGATTTCTCCCGTTTGGTTGAAAAGATTCAAGGAAAGATCATTCAAAAGTAATACCTCTCATTTAAATTTACATATTTTCTTTAAATGATATTCATATCGCGCTAAACTGAATTATCAAATAACACCTAGTCTTCAAGTATGAATTCGAAGATGTTGGTAAATTCAAAAGTATATTTGAAACTCGGTAAGAGTTGTGCCCTCTCTTGATGCAGTTTATGAGGGTTCCCCTAGATTGTTGGGGAGGTATGCCTCTAATAGTAAGAACCTTACCTAAAGAAATTTTATTTTGCACAAAGCCAAATCAATCAAGGGAGGGAATGTGGTTTGCTGCATTGGGCTTTCGCAATCTTATAGCAACATTTCTAATGTACATGAACTACACAGCTTAGGTATGACATCCCTACATATAACATCTCTAATATCTATAATTCCTGTGTCCAAATGACTCGTTTCCATAGGGATACGAGTGCAACGGTCTATAGATGTTCATTGATTCTGGAAAGTGGTTCGGGTTCCTTGGCTGAAACTCGTAGCTATGATGTAAATTGGCGCGGAGGGGATAAGTTGCATGGTTTAAACCTTGGTATTGTGATGGAGGCATTGCAGATGAACCCATGTAACTACTGTGCTGTGGGAACCACGTTGTAGATGATGCAGAGCCGACTTCATAACGAGGAAGGTGAACTGGCGGTCTCTGGTGGTGAAATTCCAGTTGAGGCTGGTGAAAATTTCGGGGAGGATAAGCATGCAACTGAAACGAGGAGTCTCTGTTTCTGGTGGCACGGGTGAGGTTTTGAGGATGCCTACTAGATTTCAAAGGTCCGGATAGTGTAGTTTGCTTAGACTTCACTCGTCCAACTTGAGGGACCTTTCTAGATTTCAATGGTCCTGATTGTGTAGTTTGCTTAGACTTCACTCGTCCAACTTGAGGGGCCTTTTGACGATGTGTCTTAGAGGCCTTTCCAACTCCATCAACATGCTTTCTTTTCTCGGGTTCAGTTCTCTGTCGCGTTCCGGATGGGCATGAATGATGAGAATGTTTCTGACGCTTCACATCTAATTATCATCACAAATGAAATTAGTCCCTGAAATTCACTGTAGGAGAAGGAACGAAAGGGAAATTCCCAACCCCCTTCCCCTCTCTCTCTCTCTCCCACCGTACCTCCATTTGTAGACCGTGGCCCCTCGGTCTTCTTCATTGCTCTCTTGAGCCTCGCTGCTGCCCCTCTTTTGTGCTTCTCAGCAAGGACTCTTGATCTTTGTGCTTCATTCTTCCAACACTAGGGGAGAAGGAAAGAAAGAACACGAAGTGCACTGCAGTTAATGGGACTACACTAAAGAATTGCTGCTCCAAATATATACATATATATATATATATATAATCACCTGTCTGAAAGTCTTCAATTTATAGAGGTTGCGGCCTTTGACAAGCAGAGGAAAAAGTGGAGGCAATTTCTTAATCCCCTTGCTCCACAATACTTCTACCTTGAATATCACAAATTAAAATTCAAAAACATGGAAGTGTGCTAAAAACTGCTTCAAAAGATTATTGAAACCAGAAAGCCCATAAGGTATTCCGGTATAGATACCAAAATAATATACTAGTGTGCCCAAAAACCCACCAGTTTGAAATCCCGTTGTCATCTGTTTAAAAACATGGTTTTCAAGACAGGATAACCCCTCATACATGCCTCCAAATTATAGTCATCATAATGACCTACCAATGAAATTACAATCATATGCCCAAATAAAACCACTTTCATAACAGACTGTATTGCTACCAGCTAGTGGGGCATTGATCATAGCTTGAAATTCCTCGGAGGGGCTTCATGGCTACTTTCATTATAAAGGAAAGATAAGAACCAACCTCAAGTCAATAGGTGCCCTATTTCCCTTTTAGAGACCTCATTACTTCAATTCAAGTGCCCAAGCCATCTGGTTTGAGAATAAGGTGGGATCTCTGGATCTAGAAGGGGGTGAATCACTAATAGCACCTTCATATACAATACTACAACCATGAGCAATCTACGAATACTATCAGTACCCAGATGTTACCTTCAATAACCAACCTACTTACCACTTCGTCATACAAGGTCTATACAGAGGGAGTGCACTTTAAAAATATATGTTAAATAAAGAAAGGGAGTTTCTCAAGATCGAACTCGATTTTGCAATCTCAAATTGATTGAGCACAATCAGAACACGACCTCAATTGAAAAAGTATTATTGATAAATGACAGGTTCATTGAAGCATTTGCGCTAGCAAAAGCAACAATTTCAAGGTTGTGAATTGGGAATATGCTTTAGAGGTCTGATCAGGACTATTTTGAGAGCAAAAATATGGAATAAAAGAGGAGAGAAAAATTGGGTATGATTGAAAAAATAGAGCCAATTGCCAAATAAGGCAGAGAGCGAAACTTTTCTTATGATGGGAGAGATAACTAAACCAAATGGCAGGTGAAGCTTTAGAACTCTTTACTCTTTAGTTCTATGGTTGATTATAGTGATAATTTTGGTGATGTATCACCAATGGAGATGGTAAAGTAGTTGCAGAATTGGATTCGTTTATGGTTTCTGAAGTGCAAAACAAAAGTTCATGATGTATACCTCACATGGATAAAACCTTTTAGTGTGGTGAATGTGGTGGCGGCCTATGTTGCATGGAATCGGGTACATTTGTGAGTGTAGATATGTGTCCAAGTATTAAATTAATCAAACTACCTAACAAGACGCAGAGACACGGCTACATATACATACTATTCAATATTTTTTTTTGATTTTCTATAGTCAAATGATATTGTTATATAACATAATGATCATAATAGGCATTTCACTCGTTTTGCAGCAATAATTTAATAAAAAATGGTAGTATATTGCCTTTTAGGTGCATTCCCAACTAAATGCGTCAAACCATATTATATACCCCTATTAGGGTGTCGCTTGTTCGACAAGGGCATTTCGCGTACTTTGAAGTATCTGTGACACATATGTGGTGGCGGCTGTACATACAGATTTCGGGAAGACGGGGAATCTCATTAAAAGATATAACTGCAATGCAACTTATTGAGCATTACAACATTATACTTGGAAAGCTTTCCTGATTGGAATTTTGTAGAAAAAATATTGCTTTAAAGGATACTAACCAGGGGTTAATAGTTGAAGAACTACTACTACTACTACTACTACTACTACTACAACAAGCCTTTTTCCCAACTACTTGGGGTGCTACATGATCATATGTTTCCATTCTACTCTATCTAAGGTGATATCCTCAGTCAAACCACATGCTATCACACCCTTCTTTACTATCTCTACCCAAGTTAATTTTGGCCTTCCTCTCCCCCTAGTATTACCCTTAATGTGGACTATGTCACTTTTTCTAACTGGCGCATTTAAAGGTCTTCTTTGCACATGTCCAAATCATTTTAACTAATTTTCTCTCAGTTTATCTCCAATTTGTGCTATTCCAACCATTTCCCGAATGTGGTCATTTCTAATTTTATCCTTTCTAGTCTTACCACAAATTCCTCTCAATATTCACATTTTGCCACTCAATTTATGCATTTGTTGTTTCCTAGTTGCCCAACATTCTATGCAAAAAGCATGGTTGGTCTAACAGCGGTTCAATAGAACTTCCCTTTCAATCTGAAGGGGATACGCCTATCACACAATATACTAAATGCACTTATCCAATTAACCCATCATGCCTTGATTATATGATTAGCGTCATCTCCAATTTCTCCTTCATCATGAATAATTGAACCTAAATAACGAAGATGTTCACTTTTTTGTAGCTCTTGATTCTCAATCCTCATTACATCCTCATTTGTATTTCTATATTTACTAAAGTTACACTACATGTATTCAATTTTATTTCTACTTATCGTAAACCCTTTTAATTCTAAAGCTTCTCTCCAAAACTCCAATTTGGCATTAACTCCTCCTCTAGTCTCATCAACTAAAACAATATCATCGGCAAATAGCATACACCAGGAAATCTCATCTTGGATGTGTCTTGTCAGCTCATCCATAACCAACGCAAAAAGGTATGGGCTCAATGCTGACGCTTGATGTAAAGCCTATAGTGATTGGGAATTCACTTGCTTCCCCTACAAGTGTTCTAACTATGATGACACAACCATCTTACATGTCCTTTATTGTGTCAATGCATTCCTTCGTGACTCCTTTCTTTTCTAAAAGCCTCCATATTAGATCTCTAGGTACCCTATCATAGGCTTTCTCCAAATCAATAAAAACCATATGGAGATCTCTCTCCTTCTATCTATATGTTTACATTAGTCTCCTCAATAAATAAATAGCCTCCATAGTTGAGCTTCCCAGCATGAATCCAAATTGATTTTCCAACACTTGAGTCTCTCGTCGTAGGCATTGTTCAATCACTATCTCCCAAAGTTTCATAGCGTGACTCAAATATGCACCAAAAACTGTAAACCTAGAATATGTTTTAAGCCATAGCTCCTCATGCTTTATCCAAAAAAAAATATTCTGTAGCTTTACTCAGGCTTACCGAGAAGGTATGTTGTTGCTTGGCTGCACCATAGCTTTCCTTAACAATCCTCCCAGCTATAGTTCTCTTCCCAAGAAGACGTCCTCTCCTAGTCACTTTGTCAAACCTGTTTGGTAGATCCCCGTATTACAAAGCAAATAGAATTTAGAACCTAGAATGGACGAATAAAGAAATCGTAGATAAAAGAAAAATAAGAGCTGGAATGAGTGAGTACTTCTCATATACTTTCTGTGTGAACAAAACTACATCTCCTCTACAGACATCCCCTTCATGAAGAAACATGTTTAATTCAACAATGAAAGACAAAAGGCTACAAAGTTTACATAATGGATGAAGAAGTAAAAAAAAATTTAAAAATTTACCTGTACAGTTAATATTGAAAGATGATCTGGGATAGAGTGCTTCGCCATTTCCATCTTTGATCCTGAGGTGTAGAAGTCATAAAAAGAAGGGAAAATCATTCAAAAAAGAAAATAAAAAACAAAAGAGTAATAGAACTAAAAGACAGCAATACCCTCAGAAGTTCTCTGTTTCCCATAGTACATGTAGATAACGAAGAACTTAGTTCCAAAAACTAACCTCAAACTCCCAACTAAAACAGATTGCGATTACTAGACTTTACAAAGAGTAAAAGCTTGGAAATAGCCCAGATTTTAGTATGATTCATTAATTTTGAGATAAGAATTATATGATTTGTGTCGTTACACATAATACTTAAAGAATTGACTGGAAGGATTTGATGTGATTGAAAGTAACTAAGATCGTGCCAACTTCATTTCAGGATAACAAGAAAGAGAGATCAAGAATGAAATGACTTCTTTTATAAACTTAATATCCTACACAAATATAACATGGTTAAGGCCATAACTTGGTGCAATGATAAAAGTTTGGGTTGACAAGTGCGAAGATGTAGGTTTGAGTCCGAGTGAAGACACTTTGAACAAAAAAATGCTAACCATGTAGGCAGTACAAGAACTGGATAACGGCATTCTAAAAATATAATGGTTTGCAGGACAAAATGTAGAGATTGAAGGCAAGTATAAGTGGGGGAATAATGGGAAAAGAGAAACCAGTAACTAAAGAAGAGAAATCCAAAGAAGTCTATTAAATTCAAAGGATAGATAAAAAACCAATTAGATGCATTAAGAAGTGCGGGGTGAAAATGTATTATAAGAATACAGAAAGAAGCAAGAAAAACAAAGAAGAAGATGTTGCAGGTAATTTCATACTCTCTTGAGCAATAATGATTCCACTAAATTAGGAAGTGATCTTACTAAAAGATATATGCATATCTATAAAGATGTTTTTGCTACGTATATATGGATACTTCTGTCATTACTGAAGCACACTTCTTGAATGTGACCTATAACATTTGATAAAGGAGAACTTCAAAAATAGACAAGTAAAAGAGTGTTAAAGCATAAAAAATTGTTCCACCGAATTCTTCATTAAATAAAGTGAAGCATCCTCTAATTCAAACATGCTTCCCACTCTATATAGGTGCTCTAGGAAACTGTTAAAGCACACTGCCACATTAATTTTCACACATGAACAACAGTAAATTGCAGAGGGCACCATATAATTTACAGGATCAAGGTAACTTTCAAAGGTGGAAAATCGAATTCAAACATGTCCACCCACCAAACTTGCCCATAAAAAATGGGTTTGGAAGCACGTACCCAAAATTTACATGTAAATATATATTTTTTTGATAAGTAAGAATTTACATGTAAATAAAGAATTGGCAGGTCAAAACAGACTGATTCTACAAGTAGCTTGCCCGATCCACAGATTTCTCTTTTAATTTTTGTTTTCTATGGGAGAAACATATTTTCTATCTAATTTATATAATTATTTAAATTTATATATTCTTTGGTGTCATCTGTTATCTGCAGGTAATCAGATATGAGAGTGATGAGGTTTTCTTTTGATTATATATATAGTCCCACCAATTATAATCTTTTCACAGATAAGTTTTATATCAAGATCAAAATATAATTGATGACCAGCGGCTCAAAAACTCACACAAACCATATAAGTAGAGAAGAAATTAAGCAATATTCGTGTATGAAACAACTCACCTCCAATGCTCCTTGATTCTCTGTATACATTCTACCTTGGTCCCTGTGATTCTCAGTCCATACTTCCGTAGATAAGCTTTGCAATCGTGAAGATTTAGTTCTTGTAGATCACTCCTTTCTGCAGAAAATTAAAAAAGGCCAACTGTCAAATACACAACAAAAAAATGTATATATATTGGACAATGGCTTCACATGTATACGCAAGGCAATGGCTTCTAGTGTTCAGCTAAAAGGCCTTATAAAACAACAAATATATGATTATCATGATACACAAGCGTTCTGTATATTAAATAGTTCTGAAAAAACCTTTTATTCAATCACACACACACACACACACACATATATATATGTATGTATGTATGTATGTATATATATTGGACATCACAAACAAAGTTTAAACATAATATTGCTATTCGCAGTAAACATAACATGATTACTGCAAAATGAAGTCAGGAAAGCTTTCAACGTTTCAATACTGCATTGGCAATAACATTCTTTCTTCCCCCGATCCCATGAAACAGAGAATAAAATCTAGATGATGATGCCTTAGCTATCCTATGCCATCAAGCTACAATTTACATCTACCAACTGTCAAATATATCAACTTACATAAGTCTTTCAACAAATTTCTAAGAAAACCTAATACATTTCTATCCACCACATTTACATAACTAATAGTACAAAATAACACAACTCAGCTTCCATGGGTGAATGCAATTACGTAACAGAAGATTTTCCACCACCTATAACTAGCATCATTTCCAAAGAAATTAGATTCAATATCCAACTATTCAGCCTTACCTAAATACATATAAAAAGACACACATATATATATAAATATACACATATATGCATATTTGTATCATTGTAGAGGCTGTATATCTCAAAGAAACAAATTAGCTGAAGTAATAATTTCAAGATTTTCCACAATCCCTAACATAGCATCATTTCCAAGGAAATTAGACTAAAATGTGCAACTTTTCAAATACATATAAGACATACAAAGACAAACGTGTACATATGTGTGTGTATATCGTAGTAGACGATGATATGTAGAGGCTGTGTATTTCAAAGAAACAAATTAGCTGGAGTAAACAATTTCAGAGAGTTCATGAATCGGAGGTCATAACCTTGGAGGAAACGGATGACTCTATCGCAGTGAGATTCATCGGCGTCGGGATCAGAAGACTCCTCGTCATCCTGATCGTCCGATTCATCCTCTTTGTCATCACTCCACTCACTCGAACCCTCATCGTCGTCGTCGTCGTCACTGAAAACCAGACTAGAATTGGAATCACCAAAACAATCGCAATCATGTTTCGATACATATATTAATCTATATAATAGACAAATCATACATACACTTCATCATCGTCATCGTCTTCTTCTTCTGACTCTGATTGTTCTTCACTCTGTTCTGCTTCTTCTTCGGAAGACGAAGAGATTGTAATCAAAGTGCGTTTCTTACCTTTTCTATCAGTCATTTTACGAAAATTGAATATATTTGTGTGTGTATATATATATATATATATGTATATATCTATGCGAATCCAGTGTTTCACTAAGATTTCGAATAGCGGTCCCGAATTCAAGTTGATTATATTTCGCCTCTTCCTCAGAGAAAGACGATCAAACAATTCCCAATCATGTATTGTGTGAGCACTCGAGAAAACACACACAAAAAGGGAGACTTGAATGGAGAGACAGTGCGTGTGTGTGTGATTTTGAGGAGCGAATTTGTGCAGAAACAGACCTGAAATTTCAAATTTGTGCCTTTCGGAATTAGGAAATTTTCGCTTTTCCCAATATTATCACTTTTAACTTTTTCTTTATTTATATAATAATGATGGAAATATTAGATGAATCTTGTATAAATTTTCAACACATTTACATTATATTTAAATATATTTGTACTGAATTTAACAAATCATGGTGTATAAACTAAAAATAACAATATTGGTGAAAAAAAAAACAACTAAAAATAATAATTTTGAAAATTAGATTTTTAACATGCTTTAACACAATTATATATATATATATATATATATATATATATATATATATATATATATATTTGTTGAATTTTATATTAATAAATCTGTCGAAAATCTTAAAGGATTCCACACGCAGATTAAATATGGCCCTAGAGTATTTTGAATTTGGCTTGATTAAAATTCTCAATTAATAAGTTATTTTATTAAGTTTTAATTTATTTTTTTTTCGTAAATACTTTACAACAATCAAAATATCAAAAAATAAAATAAAAAATACAGCACATTTTTAATAAAAAGATATTTTTAATAAAATATTTATATCCAAACAAAGGGGACCTAAATACCATATTATCAAAAAATATTTTTCAAGTCTTAAACACATTAATGTGCTATCAACGTCCAGGCCCAATTCATCATCACCTGCTCAAGGAGTTCATCTTTCTAATACAAGCAATTTAGAAAATTCCCAATTTTCGAAAAAAAAAATTTAGAAAATTCCCAACAAAGAGAATTAAATAATTATACAAGGTGATACAAATACGACGAACTCATAGTTTGATTTCACGGGGAAAACAATGAAATTGAATTGATAACTCTTAGGTAGAACGTAAATCGAACACAGCAGATGATACAAGGCAATGGCAGGAGCTGACCCGTCCAATATATTTCAGAACATCGGCTACAACCGTGTTCCATAACCAGCTGAAAAATGTTTTCAACTACAATCAAGACACAATTTAAACTACAACTTTACAGTGGAACACACAAGTGAATGGGCTTTATCGCTGAAGTAGCACAACTGGTGCTGTCCATAGTAGTATAGGCGCAAACAAGCTTGTGCCGTACACCAGTCCCAAAGCGAACCATGCTGCGCCACATTTGCAGTTCGTGCTAAATCCGAAAAATGAAGGCCTGAGAAGGGTCTTGACCGCCTCTTACCGGTATCTTTATTGGACGCAGCACAGAATAGCCTGTAGTAAGGGACAACGCCTTGGCTTGAAGTATCATTGAGCTTTTACAAGGGACCGGCTAGACACACCATGCAACAACTTGACAAACCCAAGAAAACTCAGTTTTCCGTCCGTGTGCCTAATCCAGTCATGGAGAACGGCATGAACAGGGACAGATGTGCTAAGGCCTAGTTCCTGGAACAATATTCCCAAAACATTGTAAATCAGTCTATGACTCTAGGTTTTCTGTTGCTTAAGGTGACGAATTCAAATAAAGGGATGTTTCTTTATTGCCTAGGAACAAGAATCAACTTACAGAAGCTAGTTCATCAATGACAATAGCCCTATTTCCATCCCTCTCAAAAATTTCATAAGCACAACGAGCATGTTGCTCCCATCTTTCAAGAGCCTCAAGCTGATAGACGCTTACTGAAGCAGCACAGAATTCCTCAAAATCCATTCTTCTGTATTGAAGTGCGTTAAACTGTTACACAACAAGAGAAAATGGCTGATCACTCAAATGCCATAACACCATGAAACACTTAACTAATTGTCATGTCTACCGCAATGGTCAAAGCACATACTGATGCTAGAAAATCATGAATACGAGAGTCCTTCATAGCGTCCGTTGCACTTTTTGTCAAGGCCTGACCAGTCAAAACTGTTGAGAGCAACATTCAAATAAAATATAATAATGAAATTTTAATACTCTGCAAGAAACCAACCGCTTTAATATTTTCCAAGCTAATGGAGCCATTTTTGTTTGGTTCCAGTAAGGCAAACTGCTCTTTCAAGTAAAACAGCTCATCTACTGTTAATGTTTTAGACAAAGCCTGCCAAATGCCAATAAAAAGAAAAATGTTAAATAAACTACTACAATGTGTACACCAATACCGCAAGGAATCAAAAAATAAAACAAACCAAGAAGATGCATAGTAAAAATTACCAAAAAAATGTGCTCGAGACTGGCTTTATAAAAGAATAACTTCTAATAGTCACTGGATTTATATCATGGCCTAATCAGAATATGCATGCTTTCAGATCACTTCCATAATATTCCTATGGCAATACTGCAGGACCGTGGCAATATTTTAAGAGCTTAATAATGCAATAAAAGGAACTCTTTCTAGCGTTCTGCAGATTAAGAGTGATTGAAACAGTGTGGTCCCTTTTACATTACATGTATAAATATTAGACACTTTAGACGCAGAGAAATGAGGAAAGATAGAAATTGAGAGAAACATCATAGAATAAAATATCTTCGCTATTAAGTGACTTATCTTTGCAAGTAAATCACCTAAATCAAGAGGCCTTGTGATGTACGACGGGCTAGGACAGTAAAAAAGAAAGTAGAAGAGAGTAAAGAGAGAAGAAGAATAAGGGAGAAGAAGAAATAGGAGGAAGAAAACTCTAATCAATCCCAATGTTCAATAATAATCAAAAGTTATCCAACTGAATGTATCAAGCCCTGTATATATATAGGCAGTGAAATAAAACCTCAAACTTTACTGCCAAATAAGCCCTAAAATAATAAATTACTAAATAACCCTAAATTAAATATTCCAAAAAAAAAAAAAATAGTTAACACTATTTTTATAACAAATTCCTAACTCTATCATTCCCTGTCCCTTCTCCAAAAGTAGAGGTGAATTACATGCGGCTCATGTTTTCGGGTCATATCTCGTTCTCCACCACCTAGACAACTTAAAAGTGGAAGAAAGTATAACTTCTATCTTAAAAAAATAAAATTTGATCAAATTTGTGTCTTAAATATAATTTGAAGAAAATGATGTGATAACAATCGCATAGAAGTAATTCTTGAAATGCTATTCCTAAACACTCCCTAACAACTTCCAAAAAAGCATTTGGTGCCCAGTTTTCAAGGAATCAATTCAACAATGATCTCAAACCAATGGATGGCAATCTCTCTTGATTCTCAAGAAAATTACTAAATGAACCAAAAAGCCAATTAAAAATCGTTCTTTCAAGAAGTTGGTTCCAGGGACAGTCTAAGTTGTTTTCATATAGTTTTTATCCTAAACCACAATAGAAGAAGCACTCACATCTGTATTATTTTATTTAAAAGGCCAAATTTTTCATCTATTGCCTATTGAAAGAGCACTCATCATATGTTTTATTTTTCTTATATTGTATTCAATAGGAACATAATTCCCTTAAACGTAATATTTGTTGCAAATGTACTGGGATCATAGTCCAAGGAATCCCATAAACCATCAGATGAATAGTGGAATCCAAAAGGTATACCCAGGTAACCACTTAAATTCACGTAGACACAACCAATAGAGAATACAAAGAACATCACCATTTTCAAGCAGCATCATATACACACCCGTAAAGCAGCTTTCCGAAGAGAAGATGAACGCATATAAGCCTTCATGAGTTTAAAAATTAGTATATCCAGGGGCACGATTATGTCATTGTTATTTTTAATCCATGGATGACCTGCAACAAAATATTTTTAAGTGGCACTCCAGGGATAAATAGAAGAAAAAACACTCGGCACCATTAACAGGGGTTGAGACACTCACTTAGGGCTTGAGCAGCAGTCATTCTTTTTCGTGGGTCCTTGTTCAATAGGCGTTTCACAAAGTCCTTTGCCTCAGAAGATAGAGATGGCCAAGGTGATTCGTCAAAACTTGGATCAGCTTTTAGAACAGCACGGAATATCCCAGACTCAGTTCGAGCCCAAAATGGACGGCTGCCACACAATAGAATATATGCTATAACACCTATACTCCACACATCAGCCTCTGTACTGTATGACCTATGTAGAACTTCGGGTGCTACATAGTATGCGCTGCCCACAATGTCATTAAGCCTTTCATCTGCAAACCATTTGAGACATAAATAAAAAATAAAAAATAAAAACTGATTTACAGAGCTATTTAATTAAACAAACAACCCACAACACCACATAAATATAGAAGAAATAAGGACAAACCTGGCTTTACAAAATCTGACAAACCAAAATCTATGGCCTTTAGTTGTGAGTTCTCATCCTTCGACATGAACAAGAAATTCTGATGCAGCAATTAGCTATAGTTAGGTAAGAGCACAGTAGAAAAAAGAAGACAAACAACATACAGTAAAAGATTTTGCAGTTCTTGAAAGATACTGCTGAACAGTTGATTTTTTCAATAACCAACCACTCATTTCTTCAAGATAGTGACTTGGACCATTTAGGTCAGACCATTCAATCAGGAATTTAAAACGTTAGTTCAATACCAATCTTGCACTAGACATACATATACACCCTGGTTGTCATTTGCAAAAGAAGAGATTCTAAGTTTCTCGTGGTTTTAAAGCAATTCTGTTAACTTAGAAGACGGCATATCATGGAATGTGCCAATGAATAATACACAGCTTGGGTGTATGACTCATTCAAGTATTAAACCCAGCAGTTTAGTCCTAACTTAACGCTCATTAAGGTCTTTAAAAAAATAATGCTTTTTAATTTTATTAGTTTACCCTTTTAGATTTCCCAATTTCAATATCCAGGAATTTTCAATTTCCGGCCAGAGAGAGATTACAAAATAATTATCCCAACCATCCTTTCCTGCCTTAAAAAGTGGAAGGCTGACATTCAACACATGCTGCAAACTAGCAGATCCAAATATAACACGCCGATAAATAATGCAAACTAGAAAGTATCTCTCACCTCCGGTTTAAGATCCCGGTGCACCACACCTTGGAGATGGCAAAATGCAACAACATTCAAAATTTGTATCATGACAACCTTTGCATCATCTTCCGTGTATTTCCCACCCCTGCATTACAAAAAAATGCAACTATTTCAAATGCTATTGCCAACCAATTCTTCTCTTTAATTGTTCCTCTTCCTGGTCAACCAATATCAACCAAATTCAAAAGGATCAAAGGTACGGTATTTCAGTATAGCTAACACTAAAACAGAGGTACCTTGAAAGTATTCTATCCAAAAGCTCCCCGCCTTCACATAACCTGTAAAATTCAAGAAAGTTCATGAAAGCCCATTAGAAGTAAATTTAAGAAGAAGCAAACAGTGAAACCGTCCTAACATCGAGATTATATTTGAATGACAAATATAAATAAATTATTTTCATAAAGTTAGTAAACGGAAATAGTGGCATTTCATTCAAAGAAGTTATACTGTTTACCATTAAATCAGTTAGCAGATCAAAATTCTATTGCTGCACACGTAACCAGGTCCCACAAAACTATGGAACACATCCGTGTTAATGTGATAAAATTCAAATCAGGCATCAACATCAAAACTTACTCCATCACAATGTAGACATTATCATGGTCTTCATATGCATCATAAAATTGTACTAAATTGCTATGCCCTGTCAAAGCTCTCAATATTTTCACCTCCCGTCTAACATCCTCAATGGCTATGGCAGTCGTCATCTAGATGGAAAAGAAATATACAGACACGCGCACATAAAATTAGCAAATAAGATGTGATAAACAATACAAAAGATAGTCTTTCTGAAATGAGTTCCCCTATAAATCTAATTATAAAATAAATAAAGCTTGTCATGCTTCAACCACTGACAGAAATGTCAACATTTTAAAGGAAGTACGTTGGAGTCAAAAATTATACTGAAACAAATGATGATCATAGACAATCAATCTACAGATTTCATAACATAAGAAGAGCGGTATACGAATTAGAACACAATATACTTCCACCAGAACAAAAATAATTGATGCAATAAACTTTATAACTAATTGGTTCAACCACCAATGTGTCACAGATCAAACACACAAATAATAGTAACAATAACAATACTAATAATAATGACAACAACAACAACAATAATAAAGAACAGTACAGGAACTTGTTTTGGCGCCAGGAACCCGATCCCAAAATCAGGTGGGAAACTTCTGAGAAATTTTGAGAGAAACTACTTGGAAACAGTTTGGATACATTTTCGAAAATAATAATAAATAAAAAGAAAGAAAGAAAAAGTAAACTTTTTGGTAATGAGATATGCTAGGAAAACTAATTAAAAAAACATGCTTCTCGCAGTTTAATCTTATATTCTTTTAGACAATAATCGTTTATCATCATAACTTTTTCCTAATTCCTAAAATAAATATTTTAATTCAACATTGTAGTTTTCAGTTGTTTTCTTTTGGTTTTATTGAAGTTCCTTATTCATAGTCCAAATCAATTTCATATCACCTAATGCTTCCCATTTCTTATGATATTTTTGAACCACAATTCATGCTTCCATTCCTTTGTTTTTTCTTCTCCTTTTTCTTCTAGGAACTATAATACAGAACATATTATTCTCCAGGGACTATTTCCCCAGCTTTAACAACAACATTCTACCAACTTATCTAAAAAATTATTTCCAACAAGCGATTGTCACACCATTTTCTTGCTATTATATAAAGTTGTCCTCTTGTTTTCCAAGATAGTCTCTCTATTGAAATGCAATATACCTATTACTGATTATCCACACAACACATAGATGCAACGAACATTGTCTAGAGTAAAATCTCTCTCAAATCATTCAATGAATTTATGGGTTCGAGAATACCAGAGTAGGCACTTCTATAACAATACAAACCAGCTCAATGCTTACAATTTTTTGCTTTTCATTGTGCAAAAACACTGTCCATTTTTTTTTATAAGTAACACTGTCCATAAATAATCAAATAATGGGATTACCATGAACAGCATCCACTTGTTTAGAATAAATTAACTACTTCCCCATAATTCCATTAACACAAGACTGTTACTGCAGTAGAAACAACCATCACCTTGTCATAACTCATAGATCACCAATGTGAGCCACGGAAAAATTTTGTAAGTTAGCTCTTTTATACACCCAAGTACAGACAGAACTTTTCTATTATCCAAAATTTTACAGCTCAGAAAAGAAGTCATTTATAATTATCCATCATGTATTATTTTTTGCTACTTTTTTTTTTTCCTTCCTTTTCCTGAAAAAACAGTATTTTCGCATTTTAATGCAGAGGAATCCACAGGTACCACTTTGAAAATTCAATATTCCAATAACTCGGACAAAAAAAAAAAAAAAAAAAAAATTCAAGATTCCAATTCACATACTGCAAATTAAGCAAGCACATCAATTATAGAAACACTAGTGTTACACAGCATTCACCCATGAGTTGACCATAACCATAGCACTATCACATCTACAGACTATCTACCTTCTATTCAATATACCCGATCTGCAAACCACCTAACACCAGCAATCTATGCCAATTTATTAAAAGAAATCATAAGATTCTTTTTGTGTTCTCACCCTCCAAATTTCGATATTATAATCAAAACCCAGAGTATTTTGATATCAAATGCTTGAAAAAAATCACAATTAAACCATTCAAAAACATAAAAATAAAAAATAACACATACTGAAAGTTCAAGCAATTAAAAAATGCATAGAATTCTAATAAGAGATGAAAAAATGACTAAAGTGTGCTTCAATCAAATGATGATCAGTTCAGAAGACCAAAAATTGATGTCTTCTCACAGATCTGATCTCTATATCGTCAAGACACAGCTAAACGTAAATTCCCACAAATACAAAATAATTAGATGCAAATGGTTGGCCTTACTTATCCATAATTCACACACATCAGAGAGGGAGAGAGAGTGAAAATGTCAAACCTTTACTTTTGGGATGACCTTAACTGCAACATCTTGACCCTTAAGCTCACCCTTCTTGAACTTCGCCTTACAAGTATACCCAAAATGGCCTCTTCCAACCTCATCTCCGAGCTCATACTTGTTGCCAAAATGCTTCGAAAACCCAAAACTCTTATCCAACCCGGTGACACCACCGCCATCCGCCTCGCTCCCCTCCGGTATCGCCGCCTCGTTCGGCTTCACAGTCCCGTGCCGCCTCGCCAACACTGCCCTGATGTGCTTCGCCGGCGACGGCGGCGGGAATGGCCGCTTGAAGAACCGCTTGGGAGTCGAGTTGGAGCTCGCATTCGCCGGAGATCTCGCCGGAGACTTCTTCCAGAACAAGTAATGCGCCGGACTCGGACTATAAAACGGAAAGAACGGCGATTTCTTACCCACCTCTACCTCTTCCTTCTTCTCGTCCTGGGTCTTCTGATTCTCACCATCACCAACTGGGTTTACACTATCTTTTGCTGGATTAGCGTTGTCCTTAACCGGAATGGGATTGCTCTCATTCACAGATTGCTGATTATCAGAGATATTGGGTTTGGAAATGCAGAGACCCATGGTAGTTACTAGTCACCTACTACCTACCTCTCCTCTAGACACAGTTTTGAAACCCTAGTTCTACAGTGACAGCATTAAGAGAGTGTTTGATTTGATTTGAAGTAGATGGGTTTGAGACATTTGTTCTAGGGTTATACTCCAAATTTGTCTCTGGTGTGTGTCCGAGCAACGAGAAACAGAGGAAGGTGGTGGTGTTGCAGAGAGAGAAACTAGAGAGAGAAAGGGGATCTGTGTAGATGGAGATAAAAAAAATAAAAGACTTCGCTATTTCTTTTTAATTTTTAATAATTTTTAATTTTAGTTTCTTGGGAGGTCCAAAACAATAGAGACAAATTATACAATCCATAATAAATGGTGAATTGATATATTGGATGCACTCGTTAATTCGTACTTGTGAAATACCGTTGAACACATGTTTACATGCTATTATTTGAATAAATGAAGATCATCTTTTACATGCCTTTATTTGAATAAATCAAGATCATCTAATATATTTACGTATTATATGCACATTTGTACGATTCGGATGAATATGACGGAAATATCAAATACTTTCTAGACATACATCAATTGAAAAAATAAATGAATGTCAACAACTTATGGATGGATTGTTGTCCAATTGAATACCGTAAACACATAATTTTGTGAAGTCAAAATACCGTAAACACGTGTCTTTGTGAGGTCATTTTTATAATTCAAATGACCGAATCTAATTAATTTACTAAATATTAATGAATCGGGACCATCTAATATTCACGTAGTATTCAAATCAACTCGAATAAACGGGCATACCAAATACCTTCTAGACATAGACTAATTGAAAAACGGAAAAAATTAATGAATGTCAACAACTTATGGATGGTGGATTGTGGTCCAATTGAATATTAAAGGTCCGACGTGGCAAATAAATGGCATTTAACGGTAATTAATTATGGAATTATGAAGATGGGTCCTAGTTTTAGTTAGGGCGGTGGATATTAGAAGATGGAAATGGGGCCTTAAATTTTTGTCCCGCAGAGTTGGACAGGTAAAAAGTTAAGAAGGTAGTTTGTCTGGTTCGAAAATATACATATATTTGTAAAGTGAGTGTGTTTCTATGAAATTTGGATCTTCTCTTATAATTTTTGTCTTCAAGCTTTTATAATAATAAAATTAGCAAATTTAGCTTTTATAAGTGGTTTTGGAATGCATTCATTTCTTTTTAATGGACATTAGCTGTGACCTAATTAGTAGAACCCGTAATCCGTTCAGTCGGTGTTTTATAATTGACTCTCTTTTTGTTTTTTTTTTTTATTATTTTAATTTGTTAAGAAAAAAAAAAAAAAAAAAGCTTCTTAAATTTTAATTGTTTGAAAAATGTGAAAAATAATAGACATCAAAAAATATTTTTCATGATTTTATCCCTAATGAGATATGGCATAATTAGCTTTCTTTTTGGGAGTCAAACTCTCCCTCAAAATTCTTTTTGGAAGTGAATTTCTTTTTCTTTTTTTTTTAGATCGGTCTTAAATTTCCTTTTGAAAGTTGTCCGTAGCAACACTTCTAGATTTTTACTTAAACATAGTGTGTGTTGTATATATTTATATATATAATTAATCATGGAAAGATATGTAGGTAATTATTATGTGTTGGTCTGAAACTGTAACTCCAAAATTTAGAATTATGGCTGTGAATCTTTATAATTTTGGAAAGAAAATATTAAGAGATAAACTAGCCTAAGAACGTATTTCTCATTTGTGATACAATCTTAAATATTTTTTGATGAAGTCTAGCATTGCTCGAAAAATATTACTCCACCGTCACTATTTTTGTTGGTGAAAAAAAATAAATTTGGTAAAAATTGTGTCTTATATAATGATGTCAAAATGTTACGTAAATAATGTATAATGATGTCAAATTTTATGTAAATAGTGATCAAAAATCGAAACATCAATTTAATATTTTAAGTATCTCTGCATGGGTGCTGTCACAATGACCACCAATGGGCCTAATTTTATTTATTTATTTATTATTGATGACGATTGACATTTATAAGCGCAATAATTCACAAATTATTCACAAATTCATTTTCGACAATAAAACCACTTCAAATCACTAACTTAAGGCGTGTTGGTGGTCAGTGGTCATGAATAACCCAAAAAAATTAGACCTATAAAAATATATATTTGAACTTTTATACTTAAAAATTTGGAGTATTAAAGAGAAATTATCTAGAATGTTTGTAGTCTTTCTTTTTTTTTTAATGATAAGGAGGGAAAAAATTTGATCAAAAGAACATGCCATAATGGAGTATTATAATGAATAATTTGAATGTGTAGGCCGAGATTTTAAATTAAAATATTACGTGTATATGTCGAACAATTTGTCTTTCTTTTCTTCTCTCATTATGAACTCGCAATAAAAAAATGTTCCACTAATGAGTGGTTGGTCTCTTATAGTGCATGAGAAAGGTTACACATATGGAGCGGAGATCCTCAGAAAATTTCATTATTTTATTTTATTTTTTTCAACAGAAAAATTCATTACTTAATATATAGCAAGAACTCACATATTTAAAACCCGGATAGTTCAAATGGTCAGCAGCTCAGGTTTTGAATTTGTTCTTCAATGATCATCATTTAAATGTTCACAGGATCACTAAATACTTATCCAATTATTAATTTTAGAACTTAGTAAAATTTATTGAGATGCGCGCAAATTGACCCGCACCAACGAAAACTCTCGTCTAAACAATCTATCTTCTATCATATTACAATCCATATTATTGCATATATTGGCACTCCACTTTAAAAGTACTCATTTAAAAATTAAAAAAAGAAAAGCCACATACACACACAAGTGTTAGCCGTGCATTTCATAAGGTAAAAATGTTCTATTTATTTTTTATACAAACTTCTTAGAGATGATGTGTGTGAGGGACATGTGTTTCTGGTATTCAACGGAGCTACAGAAATATTTGACAAAGTGAAGCTTCTTTTACAAAGTGAAGAATCATCTACAGAGACTGCCAAAAGTTTGTTGTCATATATATGTGTGTGTGTGAGATGTGTGTATATATATTATATAACAAAAAGTTGATGTATTCTTGCTCTAGAAGCAAAGACTTGAGGAATAATAATATTTAGCCCAGATATGCCGGTCAAGACGAGTAATCATGGGGAACAAGAAAAAAAAAAAACAATTAAAGAAGAAAAAATGTCAAACAACAGTTCATACGTGTGAAATGCCATGCTAAGTACATGAATGATCAAAAAATGTACATCCTTCATGTATGGGATGACGTATTAGTGACATAATTTCTTATCGGAGAATAATTTTAATATGACTATATGGTGATTTTTCGTACTCAAAATGTGTTAATTAATTTAAATGAGAATTTATGACAACGATGATAATATTACTTTATATATTCATGTGTATTTAAAATATTATCAAAAACTATTGATGCATTGTTGCTTTAAAAAGCACAGAAACCATACGGACCGTGAGAAAATTTTCTTTGCATTCATTACACGTAGAGAAGTTTTTCTTTTGTTAAGTGTTTGACCCCATTATAATCCATATTTCTTAAATTATTATTATTATTTTTCAAAAGAAAATATTAATGGTTTGAAAGTACGAATCAAATTTTCTAAATTAAATTTTCTTTAATTCTAAATTCAAGGTATTAATTCAGTAGTTCCAATTCACAAATGCAATGTCAGTTTTTTTTTTTTTTTTTTTTTTTTTCGCGTTGATAATAAATACACTTACATACTTATTTGTTTCTACAATATTTAAATTATCGATCTTTTACTTTAAAAAGTGAGAAAGTATTACTAAACCATAGCCTTTGGTCCAAAATGCAAAAGGCATCATATTTTGGCTATGCCATTCAATCTATTCACAGTACTCAAAGTGTGTTGGGGAAGATACATGAAAATAAAAAAATAAATAATAATAAAATGTTACTTCATTTGCATATAGACATGTATAATATTCCTTATATGAATTTAGGAGAGAAAAAAAAAAAAAAAAAATTATACGAATGTCCCTCATGTCTAATTAAATGAATAAAATTTTCTTTTCAGACATTAAGTGAAATTAAAAGTAAAATAAAGTGAAGTGATAATTAAGTTTTCAACGTTAATTTGGTCAGCATGAAAAATTTGCAAGAAAATTATGTAAAATTATTAATTTATGATTTAAATAGCATATAATTTATCATAGAAGAAAGGGCAATATTGTAAGTTCAGAAAACTTTATCAATAAATCAAAATTTTCTTGTGTTTTTGGAAGAAAATTTTATAGGAAAATTAGGTGGTGATTTTCCTCAAAATTTTCCTTTCTTGCCAATCAAACTCCTAAAATGTTGAAAAAAATTCTATTTTTTTTTTTTCCTTACTATTTCCATATTTCCAAACGAATCCTAAAGATGATGTTTACAAGAAAATTATTTAGAATTATATATAAATCTCTACCAGACTATCAACAAGTTTTGGGAGATGGGAAGAAAGAAAATAGAAGTATTGTAAGAGCATGATTGCAAGAATGCCAACAACAATAATGATATTATATATGTTAATATTTTATTATTTATTAATTTTTTAAAATCTTTCATCAAGCTAATAATATATTTGCGAAAATAGAATCAAAGTATTAAAAAAAAAAAATCAGAAATTAAAATTTTGAAAATTTGAAACAATTACTAAAGAAAAATTGATTTTCTTTCTCATATTAGTTTTCCATCTATTTATTTAGGTTGCAATTTTTTTTGGATTATATATTTTCAAGATATATACATATATACACACCTACTGAGATCAATATTTATATAAAAAAATTATATTACAATTATTTATAATTTTTTCAAAGTTTTAAATAATACTAAGTCGGCCCCCCCAAATCTGGCTCTGCCCCTGAATGCAATTAATCCACATTAGCTCAAATATTTTATTTAGAGGTTGAGCATTTGAATACTATAAAGGGCAATATTTTGGATGTGTATGCTTTTGCTTAAACTTTTCGGAAGAAAAAAAAAATGCAACAAATGTACATTCTCTATGAGAGAGATAATGTTTTAGATTTTGGATGCACATTCAAGCCTTTAAGCAGGGTGGTATTGGTAATTCGTGTTTTTCATATAATATTAGTGTCGTGTCATAGCATGGATGTTACGGTATATGAAACAATCTTTGACAAAAACATAACACATTAAACAAGTAAACAAAGCACAATATGCATAACTTATTTAATACATGGGTCAAGACTTAACATGAAACAATACAACACAATACGATAAGACACATTTAATTAAAATTTCATATTAACCTA